TTAGTCCATTTACACTCAGTGTAATTATTGATAGGTATGAGTTTAATGCTGTAATTTTGATGTCTTTTTTTTGTGCTGATCACAGTTTCTTTGTTCCATTTAATTTTCTGTGTTAAGTCATTTTTCTTCATGTATTTTCTTTTCATCTTTTTCATTGTTGATTTTGTATTTGCTGAGTCTTTATATTTTGGTTTTTTATTTTCATGTGTAGGATTGTTAGTTTCCTTTGTGGTTACCTTAATATTTACCCCTATTTTTCTAAGTTTAAACCAGTCTTTTATTTCTTTATATCACCTTGACTTCCTCTCCATATGAAAAAATCTATGTCTGTATTTTTTAGGCCCGTTTTTTTGTTTTAATGTTGTCATCTTTTACAAATTGACATCTCTGTTTCCCTATTTTCAGTGTTTTAGCTTTGATTTATTTTTGTGACTTCTCTATCTGAGTTGATATCTGGTTGTTCTGTCCTATGTTCTAGTCCTGCGTTGTTATCTGATGTTATTGATTTTCTAACTGAAGGACTCCCTTAGTATTTCTTGTAATTTTGGTTTGGTTTTTGCAAATTCCCTAAACTTTTGTTTACCTGGAAATGCCCTAATTTTGCCGTCATATTTGAGAGACAGTTTTGCTGGATATATAACTCTTAGCTGGCAATTTTTTTTCTTCAAGGCTTTATATATGTCATCCCCTTGCCTTCTTGCCTGCATGGTTTCTGCTGAGTAGTCTGAGCTTATACTTATTGACTCTCCTTTGTAGATGACTTTTCTTGTATCCTTAGCCGCTCTTAAAATTCTGTCTTTATCTTTGGTTTTGCCAAGTTTGATTATAATATATCTTGGTGACTTTCTTTTAGGATCTACCTTATCTGGGGTTTGATCAGCATCTTGGATAGATATCGTCTCATCTTTCATGATATGAGGGAAGTTTTCTGTCAACATATCTTTAACGATTGTCTCTGTATTTTCTGTTATCCTCACCTCTTCTGGTACTCCAGTTACTCGTAGGTTATTTCTCTTGATAGAGTCCCACATAATTCTCAGAGTTTCTTCATTTTTTAAAATATTTTTGTCTGATTTTTCCCCAGATAAGTTGGTGTCAAGTGCTTTATCTTCAGTCTCACTAATTCTGACTTCTACTGCCTCAATTCTGCTCCTATCACTTCCAATTGAGTTGTCTAATTCTGAAATTTTATTGTTAATCTTCCGGATTTCTGATTGCTGTCTCTCTATGGATTTTGCAGTGTATTAAATTTGTCCATATGCTCTTGAATAACCTTCTTAAGTTCCTCTACTGCTTTGTCTGTGTGTTCTTTGGATTTCTCTGAATTTTGTCAGATTTCCCTTTTAATATCTTGAAAAGTTCTGCATATAAATCTTTTGTGTTCTGCCTCCTGTAGTTCCAAGAAATTCTCTTTCTCTGGAAAATTTATTGATTCTTTATTTGGGAGCTTGCTGAAGCCATCATGGTCTGCCTCTTTATGTGATTTGATATTGACTGTTGTCTCCAAGCCATCAAAAAGTTATTATAATTTATTTATTTTATATTTGCTTACTGTGTCCTAGCTGTTGTTTTGTTTTGATATGCCCAAATAGGTTGCTCACGTGAGCTAGTTTGATTATCGGCGCCTTTAAAGCTCTGATGTTCTGTCACTAGGTGGTTAGATCTGTTAATAAGTATGTGAGCCAAGGAGTCCATTAACTTTTCTTGTATGGATTCAGGTCAGGTGTCCAGGTAGTTGGTCACCAAGTGTGTGGTGCAGGCTGTCACATACAGTCCTAGACAGGCATGGGTGATTGGTGTAGGCACAGGTATCTCACTGCAGTAGGGGGTCATATGCTGAGCAAGGCAGGGGACTGACAGCTGCCCCTGAGTATCTGAAAGGAAATCATGTCCCTGATCCCTAGAGTGAGTAGGTAGGTGGGTTTTGCATGCTGGACTATGAGCACTCAGTGCTGTTGGCTGTAAGGACTGGGGTCTCCACTTATTCTTGGGCTCCTGTCGCAAGTGTCTAGGTGGTGTGGGTGAAGCCCCCAGTCCTCAGGCCCCTGATGTGGGCAGGTGAGGAACCTGCTTAATGGGCAGAGCAGTGTCAAATGTCACAAACCTGCCACTTCACAGCTGAAACAGTTGAAGTTAGACTTCAGGTATATACCCTTTTGTACTGCGGTAATGAGGGCCTAATCTGTTGAAATGGGCGCACACAAGTCTATGCAGGAGTGAAAGGCATTCAAAGTCCATGGATCCCTTATATGTGCGCCTAGGCAAAGGAGCTGTGCCAATCCTGAGGTCCTGGCTTAGGGGAGCCAGCAGCTTATTTTTTAACTGTTAACTTGTTACCTCTCCAAGGCCAGGAGAATGGCTTAGAGTGTGTTATGGGTCCTACTTCTGGCCCAGGGGACTCAGCAATCAGTAAAGCTGGCCCAGGACTCAGCGCAGAGTAGGGAGAGGGGAGGTAAATGGGAGACAGTTTTTTCCCAATTGGGTTTTTTTTTTTTTTTTTAATTCCCGCTGTAGGCCAGACACAAGTACTTATCTTCAGTCGCTTGAGTGCTGCTTTTCACTGGTTCTGGATGGTCAAGTAGACTCTCTTCCTCTGGGCCTCTCCCGATGTGGAAAACACTTCCCGAGCGCCACTGCCCATTTCACCGCGCACAGGAGCTGATCCATCCTGAAGGGCTCAGGCTCCTGCTGGGTCAGGTCTGGCAACTCCTTGCTGCTTCTGAACTGTCTCTCCCTCCCCCCGCCACTCAGTCTGATTTCTCAACTTTGCCTTTGATGTTCAGGGCTCCTAGATTGTCATATACAATCAATTCACTTCTTTTTTTGGGTCTTTGTTGTAAGAGGGACCACAGGAAGCGTCTGACTAGTCCCCCATCTTGGCCTGCCTCTGACTCCAATTTTGTAAGAAGTTATACTGTGGGTAAAATGCTATCAAACAGCATCACATGCTACAGAGAACTTTTTTGTGAAAGGACGAGTCAATCAATGCAGCAAACTTCGTTGTTGTCTTATTTTAAGAAATTGCCACAGCCACCCCAGCCTTCAGCAACTACCACCCTGATCAGTCAGCAGCCACCAACATCGAGGCAAGACCCTCCACCAGCAAAAAGATTATGCTGAAGGCTCAGATGACGGTTAGATATTTTTTAGCAATAAAGTATTTTTTAATTAAGGTATGTACATTGTTTTTTAGACATAATGCTATTGTACACTTAATAGACTACAGTATAGTGTAAACATAACTTTTATATGCACTGAGAAACAAAAAAATTCGTGATTCTCTTTATTGCAATATTTGCTCTATTGCAGTGGTCTGGAACTGAGCTTGCAATGTCTCCGAGGTATGCCTGTATTAATTACTGTTTACAATTTTATTTTAAAGGTAAGCAGAAGATTGCCACTAAAAATAATCTTACTGAAAGCATCTTTATTTAATTCTTCTATTTTTAAGGTATCTTGCTTGGTATCTTTGTTTTCGTTTGTTAACTGCAAGGCCATCCTTTGAATGGTCTCTCCAATTATGTTTAAAACAGTTTGAGACCACTGGATAATTTTGACCAGGAAGTATCAGTGGACAGTGGGCAGTGCAGTTAGAAGGAAGAAACCTTGACTATGGGGAAAAACTTACAAAAAATATTTTGAGAGTGACTAATATACTTTCTTTCTAAAGGATGTTCATATTACTTGATTTAAATAATTCACTATTTTATGTATACAGGAATTCAATTACTATCTTGTAAAAACACCAAAAAAACATGAATATTTATTCTATTTTAGACTACAGGTGCCACATGGCCAGGCAATATCCATATTCCTTATCTGAATGTTTAGAACAGCATCATGCCTGGAGCAGAATCCAATAAATACTAACTTAATTATAATGACAGAGATATTTTATTAGTATAGAATAATTCTAGGGGCTTTATTCCTGGCTTGTCTGATTCTAACCCTGTTAATACCTATTTATATCTGTCATAAAATCAACATTAGAAACACCTTGAAGCAATTCATGGGCTATTAATTTGATATACGTTTTAAAACTCACCTTTGGCGTTACAACATAACAATCCTGCAAAGTGAGGGAAAAAGTTAATTTTTTAATCTGAAAGAAAACAGTCAAAGCAGATGTCGTTGGCTAAGAGCCCAGATGATCAACAGCATTTCACAATTTGTACCAACGTCTAGGGAAAAGGATTTTCGTGAGTCACTCTGAAGTGATGAAGCACCAAATTTCAACGATTGCGTTGTTGCAAAACGTAAATAGGTTTTAAATGAAAGCTCAAAAATTTTTTCTTCGCTTGCAAATCAATTTCTCCAGGGCCAAAGTTTTGGCCACCAAAATCCTCTCCTAAACATTCACATAAGGATTACTTGGTGTAATACTACTCCAGAAGGTTTGCAGGTGGCAGGTGCGTTGCACATATTTTTAACTAACGAACATCCAAAGGCTTCAAGTCACGTTATTCTCTTGTCTTAAAAGCGTAAGAATTGGTTACCTTACTAACTGCTTAACTGGGTCCTTTCCCTGGGGAGAAGGCCACCTGTTTGCTCGTCTTTCACTGGGCCAAGGGACCAGGGCACTTCTGATGCAGCGCCCTCTTTGGCCAAGAGGAGGCGACCCGCCAGATACATGTTCCGAGCCCAGGGCAGCCGCGGGCTGGAGAATTATCCTCCGGGGTTCCGGACACCTACCTTCTTTTAGATTCCGTTCATTCGGTGACAACCCGAGGGTCCAATCCACGCCTCTGGTCCGGCGCAGGTGGGAGACGGGCACAGTTCGCGCCTCCGCCCAGGCCCGCTGCCCCTCACAACCCTGACCGCGGACCCTGCCGCGCGCCCCTCCCGCGACACCGCCCCCTCTAGGACGCCCGGAGTTAGGGGTACGGGAGGGCGGGGCGACTGCCGTGACGCGCGGCGGCCCCGGCCAATGGGAACGCCTGCTGCGGCCGCGGCGCGGCCCGGCCATAAATAGGAAGGACTGCTGGGCTCTCCAGCCAGCGGCTGCCTTTGCCTCAGCGAGTCCTTGTCTTGTCGTCTCCCTTCTTCAGGTGACTTTGGTCGCAGAGTCTGCTGCCTGCCGCCGCCGGCGAAGTTTAGTTGCAGCCCTTAAAGCGCCCCAGCGTCCCCCCGGAGCGGCAGCGGCGAGTCCATGGAGAAGGGCCCGGTGCGGGCGCCGGCGGAGAAGCCGCGGGGCTCCAGGTGCAGCAATGGGTTTCCTGAACGCGAGTCGCCGCGGCCCGGGCCCAGCCGGCCAGCGGAGAAGACCCCGGGACCCGAGGCTAAGAGCGCCCAGCCCGCGGACGGCTGGAAGGGCGAGCGGCCCCGCAGCGAGGAGGACAACGAGCTGAACCTCCCCAACCTGGCGGCCGCCTACTCGTCCATTCTGCGCTCGCTGGGCGAGGACCCCGAGCGGCAGGGGCTGGTCAAGACGCCCTGGAGGGCGGCCACGGCCATGCAGTTCTTCACCAAGGGCTACCAGGAGACCATCTCAGGTCAGTGCATCCGGCGGCGCGGGCTTCCTGGGCGTGCGGGGCGCCGAGGAGGGGACGAAGGAAGCCAGCGCCGGTCCGGGAATTTCCGGAGTTGCTTCACTCCTGGCCGGGGACTCTAGTGCTGTCACCTTTGCACCTCGCCCTCGGCCCTACCACCGCCTCGGCAGAGGAGAGGAACCTGCGTGCGACGCATTCTAGGCGCCCTGGAGGCAGCGGCCCCTCTGCCCCGGTACCCTCTACAGCCCCCCTCGCAGGGTCCTCCTCTCCCCTTGCACGCAGCCCTCTCCTCCAGCGCAGGGCGCGCGCTTTGGCCAGACCGCGGTCACTGAGCTGCCCCGCCAGGGGAGCCTGGAGCCCCTCTCGCCTGAGCGTCCAAGGGCGGGGGGATAGGCAGTGAGTGCGGAAGGCTGAGGCGTGTGCGGGGCTCAAACTTGCCGGTAATATGCATCACTCACCTGAGCGCTTGTTGAAGTGACGGCTGCCTAGGTCGTCCCTTCTCTTGAGATCCAGTTTTTTGGTGGGTCTGGAGTGAAGACCTGGCTTCATGTGCTTTGCGATGAAGCACATGATCCATCGCTCCAAACTCAGGGACCCGACTCTCACTGACTTGAGAGGGCAGTGGAATCTTCGGTTATCTACGGAGAGTTGTACTTGCCTTTTGTCTACCTCAAATTCCCTCCATTTCGGGCCTTCCCAACCTTTAGCGTGACCCCGGGCACGGGTTTCTCCGGAGTTTTCGGGGTGTGAGGTTTCTTGGGCTCGTTTGCTGCTTAGAGAGTGCTTGGTCCCATCCCCTTCACCCAAAATCAAGCGACTGTTACTAGCGGCGGCCTCAAGAATCGGGGAGATTCGCTGGGCTTTGGGGGGCTCCAAGGCGCGTCCCTCCATCCTTCCATCCCCCCCTCCATCCCAAATAAGCAGGGTTGGCCCGGTGGTGTCCAGCGCTTGAGTCGGGCGGGGCTTTTCATCCTGGGGTCAGGAAAGCAGTCAGTGGGAGGGGTGGAAGGGGGTGGGAAGTGGAAAATGACTGAGGACTTTGCTGCTTAATAGTCCAGTGAGGAGTGTTGGTTCCTATTTTATAAAAAAACGGTGGGGTGGGGGGAGCGGAGAAAGAAAGGAGCTTTTGGCTTCTATGGCTGGACAACTGGGATCAGGGACGTTGTTTCCTAGTCTGCATCCTCCGTGTGTCTTGGTAACATTTATTTCTCTGACCTGAGACTCCTGTAACAGTGCTGCTTGGCAAGATAAGCCCCCTGCCTCTGTTATTTCCCTGAATGAGTATCGAGTGACCCCGCTAGATGATCCTGGGAAGAACAAAGTTGTTTTTGCCCAGTCTTCCACACTCCAGAGGAAGGGTGGGAAATCAGATTGTGGATGGGTGAGGCCCCAAAAGGAAATGATACTACATCCTAAAGCCAAGAAATGGACCTCTCCTTCTGTGTCCAGGGCACTTTTTTACCCTTTGATGGCAAAGTTTGGGGCCTCAAAATAGAGTTTCAAATACGAAGACTATTGTTTAATAGACATTCAGTTTTCTATGGGTTTTTTTTTTTTTTTTGTGATATCCCAAGATGTAATGAAGAAACATCCTCTTAGAATCTTGCTCATTCTGCTCTTGCAGACACAGAAAGTGGTCTCTTCTACAGGCTTGGCCAGGCTTTGGCGATCCTGCCCTAACAATTCAAACAGTGATCTGTAACCCAGCATGACTAATTACCCAAAGGGAGAGGGATTTCTGACCTCGAGACAGGTCACAGAATTACCTAAAGTGGCTCACGGGTTTACTTGATTACTGGTTTTCAGAAGTTTGTCTCATGAGCCCTGATTCAGGCAAAGAGAACTAGTGACTCCAAAGAACACATCCTGCCACCTTAGAAAACTGTTCAGTCTAATGTTAATACATTTTTTAAAAAGTCCATGGACCTAGAGACAGAAAACAGATTAGTAGTTGCCAGGGGCTGCCAGGGGGGAGAGCAGAATGGGGAGTGGCTGCTTAGTGGGTGCAGGGTTTCCTTTTGGGGTGATGAAAATGTTCTGGAACTGGGTAGTGGTGGTGGTTGCATAGCATTGTGAGTGTACTGAATTGTACGCTTTAAGTTGGCTAAGATGGTGAATTTTATGTATGTCTTACCATAATAAATTTAAAGAAAAAGTCTGTGAACCATTTAAAAATTAATAGTTGTTAACTGAATGCTTTTTATGTGCTAAGTGCTTTATGTGGATGGTCTTGGTTCGTCCTTAACTTTGAGGTATATACTGTTCGCTTATACCCTGAGTATAAGCGAGGCTAACAGAGCTGGTATTTCAATCCATGCAGTTTTAGCTACTGCCTTATATTGCTACTTGGAGAGATGAATCAATATATCTTATCTACTAAGTCTTTCAAACTGTGAGTTGTGACCTATTATTTGGGTCATGAAATTAACTTCATAGGTTGCTACTAGCATTAAAAAAGAAAAAAGAGTAGAAGGAGGAAGATTAGTCTATCACATGTAATAAGGGTAAGTGTTTTGAGGAACTTCTGTTTGTTTTACATATTTATGATTCTGTGTATGTACTGGGGCCCTGGTGGTACAGTGGTTAAAAAGCTTGGCTGCTAATCAAAAGTTTGGCAGTTCGAATCCACCAGCTGTTCCTTGGAAATTCTGTGAGGCAGTACTGCCCTGTCATTTAGGGTCACTATGAGTTGGAATTGACTCAATGGCAGTGGGTTTTTTTTTTTTAATGTATGTACTGGGTCCAGATGTAAAATGTATTCTTACTGTGGGTTGTGGTCAAAAGTTTAAAAGCCTCTGATCGAGGGAATCACACTTAAGGACTTGAAATCGGTTTTTTGGAGGTTTGTTTTAAAGAGAAGGCAGAGTGGAAGGGACCACGCTGAATTTTAAAGGAATAAGCCTGAAATGGTGGGAGGGAGAAGGAAGGAGACCAGTAGGGGCAGGGATTGGGAGTGGACCTAAATATATAAATCTGTAGAAAATAAAGAAGAGAGTAACAGAGAAAACCATCCCACACAACCCCCAGTTTTTATTTCCTTCACGAACATAAATCAATTACCACTATTTCTTTCAGTTCCTCTAGAGTGAATTGATGATAATTTCTAGTGTCCCAGGGAATTTGTCAGTTCTTCCTACATTGCAGCTTCTCTTCAGTGAACCCTGCCTAGCACACCTGTCCTCTGGTTTCCAGTGTGTACCTTACCACAGGAGCTCCTGTGTTCACCCGTGACCAGGCTGTCTCATAGTTACCGTTCACTCTTGGGCTGTAGCTGTAGGCCTGAAGGGAGGACTAGGGGAGCCACTATAACTTCTCCCAGGAACTGGCTGAGCTGTCCTTTGAATCTAGCATCCTAGGATGATCCTGGGACCATCCATCTTTATCTCTTTCTGTCCGTTTTCAGTTTAGCCACATCCTAGTTCTCTTACATACCAAAGGTTTTGCCTTGGTGAGGTTTCCTTTCTATATAAGGCATCTTTCTTGTATTTCACTACTCTTTTATCCAGACCCTAAACACTCAATTGAAAGCCTGGTGGCAAAATGGTTAAGAGCTATGGCTGCTAACCAAAAGGTTGGCAGTTTGAATCCACCAGCTGCTCCTTGGAAACCCTATGGGGCAGTTCTACTTTGTCCTATAGTGTCACTATGAGTTGGAATCAACCTGATGGCAATTTTTTTTTTTTAACACTCAATTAACTTGGAGAGTCCACTATTCCTTGAGATTCTTATACTTGATGCCTGTGTCTGACCCTTCCCCCATTTTCTCCCAATGAGAGTGAATTGGAACAACCTTTTGGATATCATTATTTATCAGAACTTAAATGGATATGACTTGTCCTTTTTGTGAGTTTATGGGAGTACACAAGAGTCTTGACTCTTCTGTCACATTTCCAGTTAAACTAGTGTCTTAGTTATCTAGTACTGCTATAACAGAAATACAAAAAGTGGATCGCTTTAACAAAGAGAAATTAATTTTTTCACAGTCTAGTAGGCTAGAAGTCCAAATTCAGGGTGTCAGCTCCAGGAGAAGGCTTTCTCTGTCGGCTCTGGAGGAAGGTCCTTGTCATCAATCTTCCCCTGGACTAGAAGCTTCTCCGCACAGGAACCCCGGGTCCAGAGGACACGCTCTGCTCCCAGCACTGCTTTCTTGGTGGTGTGAGGTCCCCAACTCTCTGCTTGCTTCCCTTTCCTTTTATCTCTTATAAGATAAAAGGTGGTGCAGGCCACATGCCAGGGAAATTCCCTTTACATTGGCTCAGGGATGTGACCTGAGCAAGGGTGTTACATCCCACCCTGATTCTCTTCAACATAATCCAATCTTACCTCATTAATTACAGGCAGAGATTAGGGTTTACAGCACATAGGCAAATTACAATCACAAAATGGAGGACAACCACACAATACTGGGAATCATGGCTTAACCAAACTGACACATATTTTTGGGGGACACAATTCAATCCATGACAAATAGGTTTTAGCTTGTCTTACCCAGGCTACCAGGACAGTTTTCATAAATCATATTGACAGTGTCCCAGATTTTGAGAAATATGTGAGCATGTATGTAATCAGTGTGAATACTTAGGAGATGGCACTGTAGGTGACTGGCTCTTTGATTGTTTCCCCACCAGGATCGAGGAGGCACAGACCTCCATAGTGAATCATGTGGCACCTAAATCATTTTCACTGCAAGATAATGTCTATTCTCTAAAGATAATGCAAGGTAATTAGGTACTTTCTTTTATACAAAAATGAGCCTTAGCCACTTAATACTGAAATGTGGTAGCTATTACAGGTTTTCTTTTTAATTTTGAATCACAAACCTCTCTGATTTATTAAATAAGACTGCGATGGTGAACTAAGCATTGTAACAACTTCTAAGGTGTGAAGGGACACAAAATGTCCATTTATTTAGTCCCCCTCCCATAGTGTAGTTGAAAGATGAGTATATGTACCCAGTTTTAAAATGTATTATAGAAAAGCTAATCTCACCATTAAGAGGTGCT